CAGCGGAATTAATTTGCACTCATAAATTTTTAGGGTCTAATTTGAAATTTTTATATACTTGTAGATGTTATGGATGCAATTTATATATAAGGCGTATTTTAGAAATTTTGCTTATCTGTTTTTCTCTCTGTATGTGAATAGTTCTGGATGAGTAGTTTTATCCTATTAAAAAGGAATTGATTACTTAGGGTTGGTTAGACAGTAATGGTGCAATGAGGTGATTGAACTACCTGACCTCCGGCCAATGAGAGGAGTTTTCTCTCTTTGATGGCTGGATCTTCTAACAACAAAATCTTGTCTTCGTCTCTAACACCTACCATGTGCAAGTATTCATGATTCTCCCTTTCTTTGCCTTTAAACAATAGCCTTTGCTCTTTGGGTTCCAAATTTGATAATAGAATCTTCAATTCTCCCTGAAATAAAAAATAAGAAAAAAATCAAGTCATTTTCATAATGATAATTTTAAATCAGAAAATTGAAAGCGAGTTTCTCTATGCATTAACGACTAATGAAACAATAATGTCATGTTTAGTAGAAAAAGAAGTATTGTCTAGTCGAGCTTGCTTACCAAATGTTGAAGTTGCTTGAACCGATATGTCATGCCACTATGAGACAATAGAGACTTTAATTGTGATGATCCCTTTGTTGTCACTTTCTTTACATTCTCTCTTCTGGACAAGCATGCCTCTAGGACGTAGATTCCATTTGATCTCATTGGCCATCATTTCACACAACTTGTCACCTCCGCCATGGCTGGCCCCACCGGTCCCTAGCTTAGAGTGAAAATCATTTTTTGGACGATTATAACCCTACTGTAATTAAATTATTTCAATTATATCTAACTTTTCGTTTTTCAATATGTATTTATTTTTTCTATAATCTATAATATAATAAATATCATATCAATTGAGAATAATTTTTTGGACGATTATAACCCTACTACAATTAAATTATTTCAATAATACCTAACTTTTCGTTTTTTATATGTATTTAATTTACGAACTGTAATAAATACTATAATTAGTTCTTAACTAATTACAATTCACGTTTATTTAATTAGTATTAATTAGAATTTCACATCCATGTTATTAATTCCAATGTTTTAAAAACCGACCTAGCCATCGATCCAAAAAAGAGAAAGGGTCAAAAGGTTGAACTGAGATCGGACCGTGATTTTAAAAAAAAATTTAAAAATATACATTTAAATTTTTTAAAGAATATACATTTACATAGGTTGAACCAGTTAAACCAGAAACAGGTCACGGATTTCTAAAAATATTGAAAAAAACACGACATTTAAAAATTTAATCTAAAGACATTGCAATAATCATCGTTTGACGATTTTTATATCTAAATGTCACATAATGATTATGTTGAAGATTTCTAAGACTGCAAAAATAGTAATTTCTGTCAGTTTGGAAGATGATGGGTGACGAAATGTGACAAATTAGTGAAGTTTGAAACTAAATAAAGTTTAGTGGCTCAATCGAGACAAACTAAAGTTTAATGATTTAATTAAAATTTCTCTAGGAGTATAGTGGTGCTGAATGACATTTGCACATGTATAAGCATCTACTTTGCAAATTTATAAATAAGCGTAATTAGCCCATAACGTCTCCACCTTTCATTGTTATTGTGGAAAACGTTCATACCTTTCATTTTTTGGCATTTTTACCCATATTTCTACATTTCATTGCACAAAATGTCACTTTCATTCATTTTTCCAATTAAAAATCATAAAATAACTATTATAACCTTCTCTTTAAATAAAATAAAAGAAAAAAATTGCAATCATAGTCCCAATTTGTTTTAAAAAAATGCAAATCAGTCCCAAATAAATTATTAAAATGGTAATTAGTACATAATGTCCCTACTTTTCACTATTGTTGTGAAAGATGTCCATATCTTTCTTTTTTTTTTTTTTGATGTTTTTGATAAGTGTATTTTTTACACAC